TATATAGCATACGATATAGCATATGATAGCAACTTACATTTCTAGAGTTTTTTATGTTTTTCCTACAACTCTGTGAAGCAGGTTAAATATATTATTTTATAGGTGATAAAGCTGAGGTTTTAAGGAGAATGGAGACTCTAGAAATGTTGAAAAAAGGTGACTGAAAAGCCAACAGTTTCTCCTGATCCAAGGTGAACTTCCTCATCTTTAGAAAGTCTTTCTGAGAATACCTTATGCATTTAATTAGCATTTTCTTGGGGAAAATGAGAACAAAACAAGCAAACTCACATAAATGATTCTTAACATCAGACCATACATATTTTCAGTTAGCTAAATGAGAGCTATAGAGAACGTAAGATCTCATTGTGTTTTTACTGCTTGATTAAAAAAAAAGTACTTGATTTGGTAGGATAAAATCAGCTTACTTAAAGGCTCTCCTCCAACAAGATGCTTCCCTTATATGTATTAGAACCTTTAAAGATTCCTTAATAGATGAAATCAGAGAAATTACTCAGTGATCCTCTGGTTACCATGGGAGAAGGATAAAATAAGGAGATGCCCCAGTATGATGGATGACACAGTCAAAATAGAAAAGGTACTCCCTTATCGATAGTGAGGTGTTCCAGAGACTTACGTTTCCTACTACGGGCAAATAGGTGGTGCAGTGGAAATAGGAACTTGGACTCTGGAAGGCCTGCTTCAAACAATTACTGGCACTCTGACCCATGGCAAGAAATAACCTCTCTCAGCCTTAGTTTCTTCATCTGTAAAATGAGAGGGTCCCTCTTGATGATATGTAAGTCCCTCACCTCTAAATCTGTGATCTTATGAGCTACAGAACGAACAATGTGCTGATTGCACCAGAACATGAAAACACTACAGGATCTCCTCAATGACATCCATAGCCACCTTGAAGAGAAGAGATTATTAACACACACGGGAAAAGCAAAGTAGATGAAGAATTCACATTACTCGCATTTTGAAATATAAACTGTATGCACCTTACATTGAGTGAATTCATCAATGCATAGATCTTGGACAAGATCTATCTGCAGACAAAGACAGGGGTGGGGAACCTGTGCTTCAAGGCCACATATGGTCTCCTAGGTCCTTGGGTGCGGCCTTTTGACTGAGTCCAAGTTTTACAGAACAAATGCCCTTTATTAAGGGGATTTCTTCTGTGAAGTTTGGATTCAGTCAAAGGGTGGCACTTGAGGACCTAGAGGGCCACACATGGCCTCGAGGCTGCAGGTTCCCCACCCCTAGACTAATAGATAGGCCTAGAATTGAATACAAAGAAACCACGTTCAAAAATCCAAGTTTGCCACCAAAGTCCACATTTTTGACATCAACATTCTCTTGATCCTTCTACAAAGCTATACTTGGATGTCTCATCATAGCAGGGAAGTAATCCTGGGCTTTCAAAGGCCACAAGCTCTGGCCAATTTTACAACGTTGGAAGAGTTTTGAATATAGACCTGGAAACAGACTGCTTGCCTTCCAAGGACAAACTTGAATAACATCACAAGAAATGAAAGTATCTACATTTTATAAGACAGGAAAAGACTGAAAATTAATGTGTCATCCCTAAATTAGGTATCTTTGTCCAGTCATACCACTGACTTATTGGACCATCAGAATTAATAGAAAGAATAATTATGAGAAAAATATTTCACATTCAATTGAAACAATTTAATCTTGAACTATTTAAACAAGAAACTGATAAGGAAAAATGAGTAATGGCAGTATAAATGACACTGGCATTGATTATAATAATTTCACACAAAAGTTAAATGGAGACCAAAAAAGTCTGACAATCACCTTAATCAATAGAAACTGGACTTACTTGCAAAACACAAAGAGATAGTGACCAGAGGCAACACAGGTTTAGAATATAAACGAGTTTGTAAAATGTTATGAAAAAAGAAGATGGATGATTAGGAACAGTATTGTTTCATAAAGGAGAGGCTAAAACCAGTTTAAAGAAAGCCTAGAAAGAAATCCAGCTAAGCACAGTCATCCCAAGGGCATTAAAGGATGAAAATTTAAGGAGGATAAGAAACAGAAGAAAATGGACAAGATGTATAAAAGTTTATACTTGTGTACTGTATGCACACACACGTACACACATACACACCATACGCACAAAGCACTTAGTAAGCACTCACTATGCGCCAGGTGCCACGCTGAGTAATTTACAAACATTACTTCATTTGATCCTCACAAGAACCCTGGGAAGTAGGTATTCTTATTATCTCCATTTCATAGTTAAAGAAACCAAGGCAGATACAGGTTACGTATCTTGTTCAGGCTCATACAGCTAGTAAGTATCTGAGGCCAAATGTCAACTCTGGTCTTCCTGTGTCAAGACCCCGGTTTTCTATCCACTGCACCCCTGAGCCAGCACAGTTTATTAAGCAGAGGGGTAACATGGTCAGATCTGTATTTTAGGAAGATCGCTAGGATAGCTAAGTGAAAGATGAACAGGACTGAGCAGAGACTTGTGGGAGGCACACTTACCAGCAGGCTATCGGAACAGTCCAGGCATGAAGTGAGGAGGTAGCATACAAGGGTGGTGGCATGTCAGAGGAGAGAAGGCGGCACACACAAGGTAAAATGGACAGGCCTTGTCAACAGAGTGGATATGGGGAATGAGAGATCGAATCGTGGGCCTTAGTAACTAGGAAGATAGTGATGCCCTCAACAGCAATAGGGAAGAGTAGAAAGGGTTTTGGGAGAAAAATACTAGCTTCAATTTTGGACATATTTAGTTGAACAGGACACTAAACTAGTTAGACCGTAAACTTCTTCTACTCACAGAGCCAGCCACCATCTGAATTCAAGCCCTTTTTGTCTTTCATCGGGATTATTTTAATAAACTTCTAACTGGATTCCCCAACTTGTTTCTTACTACTTTAGTTCATCTTTCAAATAACTACTAAAGTGATTTTCACTAGACATAGTTCTTAACATATCCTCACTCAATAAACTCCAATAGCTCCCTATTATTTCTGGGACTAAAAATAAATTCCTTTGTTTGGGATTTAAAGCTCTTTACGATCTGGCCCATTCCTATCTTTCCCATATTTAAACACATTACCCCCTTTTACATATATATTCTATGACCTATGATCTATGATCCAGTCACATCAGCTTACTTGCTATTCCTCATAAATGATGCTCAGTCTCCTTATCTCCATGAGCCTGCAATGGCTGAACTCACGACTAGGATGCTCTTCTTATTCATCTCTACGTCTTATAAGGTCTGGATTTCTTTAAGACTCAGCTCAAAACAACAGTTCCTACAGGAGGACTTTTCTGGTTCCCTTAGAGCAGGGGTTCAATTAACCTTTCTTTAGTCACTGGTAAAGCCTATTGACTTCTCAGAATAATGTTTTTAAATGAATAAAATAAAATACATGAGATTACAAAGGAAGCCAATCATATTGGAATATAACTATCAAAATATTAAAAAACAAGTGCACAGATCCTAGGACAAGATCTTCCACTCTAGATGCTAGTATTTTCTCTTCTAAGGCTTTTCCCACCATACTTATTTACGTTTATGTTGTCTCCTCTCCCTTTAGAAGGTTAGCTCCTTGAGGGCAGGTGTTGTTTTTGCTTTTTTCTTTGTATTCCTTATAAATGCACTGGGCATATAGTAATCACTTAATAGCTGATTAATTCAACTACCTTTCCTTTTCAGATGTTTAACTAACACTAGAAGTTTAATATCTCTTTAATATCTAATTTTAGGATTCTGCCAAGAGTAAAAGTTGCTTACTGGTCTACAATTTGTGGATTCTATTCTCTTCCCTTTTTCGGAAAACCACTGCTCTTCACCTTATTAATATTGAAAAAGAGTATATAAAAAACTACTGACCTATAAACCCAGGAAGTCCAGTGACTTTTTTAAGTCACTACAGGCAGTACATAGCAGTGCAAGGATTTGGATCTGAGTTGTCTGACTCCAAATCCAGTCCTCCTTCTACTACTTAAAATTTCTCTCAGAAAGAGTCTGTATCTCTTACCCCTGGGCATTTAAATATAATTTAAAGGAGGTTTTTGAACAGAGACTTAAGGTGGTTTCATCATGGCAATATATAACTTACTATAAAGGAACATAATCCATATTCAAGATTGATGAGTATTTTCAAAATTTATTTCTTAAGACCAGAAAATTTATGTAAACAAATCCAATAATTCATGATAGCCTAAGCAAATAATTTAGAAGGCTCAACCAATTCTCTATTAAATACATCTTCTAATTACCCTGTGTTCAAGCCTAATTTAGCAAACAATTCAAAATCTCAACTAGTTGCGTAATAGTTCTGAATTTCTTTATATTATCTCTTAAAATTTTTGATAGAGTAAATATATATGTAATACACCACCACTAGTAATGACATGAGGTGAAATGTTAGAAAGCATGACTCAAAATGTAAAACAAACTCATCATTGACATGGGCACAGGTAAGGTTAATTTTCATTCAGGCACGTTAATAGGTTTCAAGTTTTAATTTCAAAATTCAAAGCAGATTGCAATATATGTGGCTGAAAAGTCTATTACCTACTTCTGCTAAGATCATATCTTGGTTAACATTTGAAAAGTTATTTTTGTGAAGTCATATTATTATCAAAATGTAGCATCATAAATTGTTCTTTACAGAGAAACTTGGCAAAATATGCAGCACAACTAAATTCTGCATAATGCCAGACAATTTTTTTTTTAAAGATAAGGCTTGTTGCAAGGTAGCTTGTGAGCAGTAACACCTTACTTTGGGCTCATATTATTAACCCATCTATGGCAGCCCTTCAGTTCCAGTGAATGAAGACAGTAGGGCTCTATACTCTTGGAGTCCTTCATTAAACTATTGATCCTTTTAGCATTATCCATAATGTTCCAGCAGCTCAGCATGTCAACTGGGGCAGTGCTAGGCTCTCTTTGCTTTCAATAACTTCCACACTTTATGGAGAGGAAGTCACAATGATTTATTTACCTGACATTTTCCAGTCCGGATGTCGTACAGGGCCACTGAACCATGGCGAGCTCCAACTGCTATTCTGTGATTCCGTTCATAATAGCTGACCATGTAGAACCTGAATTGAACATTATAACAAGAAACAGGTAAAACTCATCTTGCATGTGGACAGGAATATTAACACATTTCAGTGATCAATTCTAACGATGATTTAAAAAATAAACACATGAATCCATTGCAATTAAGAATTAAGATTCTTTAGTAACTTTTAGAATCAACTGAAATTTTAACAAAACATTATGATGTTGAATTTGATTTTGGCTTTTTGACAGTATTTTGAAAGATATGGGGTTTTTAAATAGGTTGAAACAAATCTCACAATTATTAATATATTTGAATAATGAAAAATAAAAACAGGTGAGATACCAAATCATTAGAGGATATAGTCTGTTATAGTAAATAATAATATCCACATATCTGAATTTGACCATGAATAGAAACAATGTTAAATCCTGAATTTTAGTCTCATTCTGTTATATTATAAAACAAAAATACTTTTATTGGATAGAATAACAAATAAAGCTGATTCAATTGGTTATCATTTTGTCACATCTTTAAAAATAATCAAACTTTGTAATAAAACAATATTTCATGTGTAATTTGAGTAGAGGAATCATGTAACTGTAGATAATATGCAGGTATAATTTTTATCCTCTCAGACACTTGTAGAAGACCCTGGCTAGGTCAGGTATAGTGTATACCACGTAGATATAGGTATACCACAGCCACTGGTTTTCTCCCAGTGGCTTATAAGGAATTCAACAGAAGACTTTGGAAGAGAAGAAAGGCATAGTTGCCTCCCTCTTGGACAAAGACAGTAGTCTAATCATAGAGTTAAGCTCAAATGCTGGTTGGTGTTCAGTATGAGGCTAGCCTAGAATAGAACATTTAATTCTAGGTAGTTCTAATCAGTTAACTGTTGAGCACCTGAATAATTTATAACTCTTTAGAATATAAGTACAGATTTTAACTCTGTACCTTGTAAGTAAATAATGTTTGCTTAAGTGATGATTGCACTTGGGATTGTGCACCAACTATGAACACTCAGAGATTGGGGGCTTTCAATGGTAGAAAGACAATAATAGATAGTGGGTAACAACTTGGGCAATTAGTGAGGAGAGGTTTCCTGGCCTGGGCATGAGTGAAATTTGAATTCCTGAAACAGCAAGTTTTTTTGTGTTTTTTTTTCATAGGCTTGGATCAGATAACTTAAATTGACTTTAAAAATCTATCCACCTTAATAAAAAGTTATAATTTACAAAAAGTTCCCATTTTCCTCATATTTACCATGTCATAAAAATAAATGACACAGCTAATGCTTTTGACTATAAAAGGAAGCAACATGGTATCAGTAGTCTATGTCATTTTGAAATCTTATTATAATTGTCAACTATTTAACTTTACATACAAATAAGCATTTTTTTATTGCTTTTAGATGGTTTTATTGTCAAGTCAGAATGATTTATTTTAGCTTCTGTTTACTCCTCTGTTCTTGGATCTTGGGCCTGTATACATTTATGCTAATTTCCAAGACGATTAAATATTTCTATTCCTTAAACATATGATGGTAGCTTGCTTTGCTTATTTGTTGTTCAATGCAAAGTATGCAAAGGTGAAAAGAAGGATGACGGTAAGATGACTGGTTTGGGTTCCTATGCCAAATGATTTGCTAATGAGTCTTATCCATTCATTTTCCATGTCAGATCTGCTTGATTGTACATGATAGTCCATATGATATGTTCATGAGTGACTTACATCAAAGATATTAAACATTCCCCCTCCCCCCCACCTTTTTAAAAGTTCATTCCCCTTTCTTTTTCGGTTCTTCCTCCATCAACTATTAATCTATTACATACTTTATATTTGAAGGTATTTTTAATATTTTCAAACAAATATAATTTAGAAGTGTTTGTTTGATAATTTTTGGCATATCTTGATGACATTAATCCATGTTTGTGACAAAGTATTGTTTACCATATAACTAGTTGTACTCTATTGTGGTAAATAAATGAAACTAGCTATTTTTTGAAACTTAACACAGGCATTTTGTACATTACACTAAGAGCCCTAGAAAACTAAAGTGACAAGATGCATTTAAAAAATTTTACACAGACTTTATAACTAAGCTGTTAAAGTCATTTTGCAAAACATGATGTCAGTTACCTTTAAGAAAACAAACTAGTTAACTGTATTAATGTTGACCCAAATCGAATATAGAATTTTCTTATTTTGTTTAATACACTCTGTAACCAATCTTATTCTGTCACATTATCTACAAACACCATTATGTATGGTTAAAAAAAAGATCATATCTATTCTTGAAAGCAAATCTTAGTCTTTATGAAAAAAAAGTTTTACAAATCTATTTTTTTTCATGCTTTACAACTGACTTTGAAAGTAATACATGTATGTTTTTGGACAAAATCCTTAAAGAATGCTAGGCACTAAAGAACTTAAGGCACAACTTTCGTATTTAAATCTTCAGCAAAATTTTCTACCCCTCTATCTGTTCTGAATTACTTTGCCTATTACATGGTTGGTTACTACAGTTTAACCTATGAGAAGGTGTATAACTTTGATGTCTATTCATAACTGTCTGGTTGATAGGTATCTGCTTCCAGCTGAATGTGGAAAAAGGAACAAGAGAAGTAAAAGAACTTGAAGGGAAGAAGAAGGAATTGTAAAACAGGTCAGAGACTGAATCAGGGGAGAGGAAATTTGGGAAAACTTGAAAAAGATTAAGGGAGAAGGAACAGATAGATTTAATAAAGAGGAGGAAGACTAAACAGCACTCCATCTAGAGTCCAAGCCCTGGGTTCGAATCTAGCTCTGCCACTTACCACCTGTGTGTTCCTGGGTAAATCATTTCACCTCTCTGGGCCTCAGAGATTGAACTAAAAGGCCTTTGAGGTTCCTACCAGCTCTGAATCTATGATTCTATGATCTGATAAGGAAAAAGAAGCAGGAGAAATGAAAGGACCAGAAAGGAAGCAGGAAGAGGATAAGGACTTGTGCTGAATGTGGACTACTGGAAGGGACGAAGAGGATCATTCATAAAGATCACATGATATCATAAAGTAAGAAGTTGGTCAAAGGGAGTCAGGTGCGACTGTAAAGCCATGAAGAGGTACTAAAGGGCCTGTCAAGGTGTTAATGGGGAACTAAAAAATCGAGAGTAACAACTCAATAACTGAGCATTTATTAAGCACTTACTATGTGCTATTCACTATGGTAAGCACTGAATTATAAAGGAAAAACAAAATAGTTCCTGCCCTCAAGGAGCTTATATTCTAACAAGGGAGACAACATGAATGTAAATAGGTACATATAAGGTATAAACAGCAGACTAAAGGTAATCTGAGAGAAGGGAAGGCATTAGTATCTAAGGAATTGGAAAGGCCTCCTGAAAAAGATGGGATTTCAGCTGAGTGTTGAAGGAAGCCAGAGAAACTAAGAGGTGGTTGTAAAGGACCAAGCATCACAGACATAAAGGAGAATCAGTGCAAAGGTAGGAGCTGAGAGACAGAGTGACAGGTCTGAAGAACTCCAAAAAGGCCAGAGTAGCTACACTGTAAAGTACATGGAGGAAAGTAGGGTATATGAAGACTGGAAAGGCAGGAAAGGGGCAGGCTATTAATGAGCTTTAAATGCCAAAGAGTTTATATTTATTTGATCCTGGAGGTAGTTTGGAGTCACTGGAGAAGTGCTACTTTTTCATGTGAGAAAAGGAAGGAGGAGACAGTGCAGGGAAAGCATCTGAGGGACGTGAGATGAAGATGAGGAGATACAAGGAAGCTCTTCCTGAACAGCCTCAAATTTTTAAGGCAGGGTTCTTAGCTGAGAGGGTGGGAGCATGGAGGGAAGGATGGAAGAGTGGTGAGAGATCTAAGGAAAGACTATTAGGGAAATGTAAAAGGATTAACTTTCTACAGTGATGGCTCAGTTGAGATTACTTAACATAAACCTGTAATGGACTCAACAGTTTGGTGATTTTTTCTAGCTTCATTCAGCAGCACGTAAGAGCAAAAAGGCAGGAGATAGTGGGTTTCATCTAAGGTTGAGGCTTGGAAGGGCAAGACCTTTTGGCAGGATAAGATGGTAAAAGACCTGAGAAAAAAGTAAAGTATAGAGTTGAACTGGTTCATCAAGGGGTGAAGTCAAGAAAGGAAAGAGAATGTAGCCAGTGTAGGGATGATAACTTAGGAAAGAAGTGAGGGGTGGGGGAACTAGAAGTCACGATGAGGATGAAGAACAGGGTGAAGGGATGCAAGAAGAGATAGAATGACAATAGATTATGATCAGATAAAGGTATTTCAGAGTTCAAAAACATGAAACTGGAATACTTGTGGGTGATGGCAAGATCAAGGGGATGACCATCTCTGTCACCTCTGTAGTTTAGGTGAGGCTGAAGAGTAGGTCATAGGAAATGAGTAAGCTGAGGAATTATGATATTAGAATGTTTAAAGGAGTATCAGTAGGTATGCTGAAGTCCTTATATTTTGAGCACAGGAGTTGGGGAGAAGAGGAAGACAAAGTCTGGCCCTAAACTCATTGAGGAAAAAGGATACGCCTGGAGAGAAAACAGGCACCAGAATCTTGATTGGATAATAAATATGGATTGAATGAACCTTAAAGGAGGAGAGGTTAACTGATTAATGGTGGTGGAGGGAAAGCCTCGAAGTGGAAAGGGTATTCCAACTCTCTCACTATAACCAGTTAAGTTGGGCTATGAGTCAAGGTGCAATCTGTGCTGGAAAGTTAAAAGAAATGTCCTCAATTCAAAAATTTATTGAATGCCTATCATGTACAGGATGCTCTCTAAAGTGGCCACAAGAGGAGATGCAGTCCAGCGCCTGGGTTAAGTACTAAGAATGGTCAAAACGCCTTCCTCCAAGTTGGTGAGCTATTAAGTATCAGAGCAGAGACACTTATTATGCCATTGGTAATCCGTATCTCCTAACTACAAATTGAATGAGTTTTCTCCTCTATCACATAGACTTTCAGTGATATGAAAGCATGGACACATCCTTTAATGACTGGAATATTAATTGTGCTAAA